CCAGGACATGCTGATCAACACTCATGCGATTCTGCGGAACAGCGCACGGATCTAGCGCACCGAGGGATCGCTCGGCATCTTTGTTCCGTGGAAGAAGCACGGCTGATCCGCCGGCTATGGTACTGCCGGGTCGGCGCCTTGCTCTTTCGCGAGCGAGGCGCAAAACAATCCGGATGGGAAAATGAGATCACTATCACTCCTCATCTCCCTGTCTCGAGCTGGCCATCGCGTACGGTCCTGTAGCGGTGCGAGCTGGAGGATAGGCTGGAGCGAACGAATGCGGAGCCGTAGACGGGGTAGAGCTGGATGCTGGGAGCTCTGGCCCCGTCTCCTCCACACGAACGGTGGAATATCTCTGGTACTCCGCCTCCTCACGATCGCGGAGGACGTCCGTGAAGATCTGCGGCGTGATCGCGGCCGACGTGCGCGAGAAGCGCATGTCCGCCCTTAGGCGATCCCGAGCCTCCTCGATGTACCCCTCGGTGCGATCGGCCGGCAGCTCCTCGCCCTCGATCACGGGGCTGATCACCGACATGCTCTGGTCGTACGCCTGCTGAGCAGACGTCGGCATGTTCATCAGAGCTGCGGTAGTCGAAGCCGAACAGCTTGCTTGGCTGCCTCTTCCATGAGAGCAGGCGGGCCGCGCTGAGCAGCAAGCTCGTTCCCCTCGTCGTGTGATCGGTGAGCAAGTGCTTCCTGCCGAACGAACGTCAGAGGGTGAACTTGGAGCTTCGAGCGAGCACGAAGATGGAAGTTTCCCCTCTCCACCGGGAGCTGATCCGTGGTTGTGCCGACCACGTCGTCCAGATTCGCCATGGCGTCATTGTACCACGGGGCGATCACCGCCGAGAGCTGAGCGAACTGCTGAACATGATCCGGCCCCTCAACGCGAGCGCGTTGGTTCCGGCAGGCCTGGATAGTATTGATCAAGGCAGGGCCAGAAATATGGCTGACCGTAAGCCACGTGCCCAACACCGACGTTCGCCCGCACTTCAGGTCGATCCGGTTGTTGGCATCCCTGAACCGGAATTCGATCTGCATCATTGCCATAGCCTTCTTGCGAGGAGCGATCGGTCACTCGCAGTTCGCAAGTGCTCATGGCACAGTCGCTCGCCATCACCGATCCTTGGGGGCCGATCGAGTAGACCTGGCCCCCAACCTCGAAGGACATGACCGAGACCTTCCATCCAACGAACACGGAGATGACGATGGA